AAAGTTTATTGCAGCTATGAAAGCGACAACTTTGATAGGCCGGATATCGGCCCTAATGGGAGTTTCGGTGGCAAAAAACGTGCGATTGAAAGGGTAAGTCTTGCATTTGTGCCCATAGGTGGATAGTTGGGTAGAAAGAAGTTAAATAAAACATATGTCTATAGACAATTCACTATTATTCTCACTCATCAACACCTTAATTTTTCAGATAAGAAATGAGCCGGTGATATTTATTCATGGTAATGGGGACGCAGCACTGCATACCCAAGCTCCACTGGCGACTGGCTGGAGTAGGTGAGAAGAGAGATGTTTTTTACTGATGCTCTATGATAAAGACATATTTTCAGGTCCATTCAATACTTTCTAGAGCAGAACTACACAGAAGGCGAGCTCTACGCTACGACCTGGGGTGATGCATGGGGTACAGGCTCGGTGTTGGACACCTACAGTACCATGCATACTTGCAGTAATCTACTCTTTCTTCGAAGGTAACTCTATGATCCTTCCGCGTGCTTGAAATACGAGTTCGAAACACAAAATTTAACCCTCCTGAGAGAAACTCAAGAGCTAGGTGAATGCCATGGATTAGCGAATCGAATGGGAAAATGTTCAGTTAAAAAGGAAAAGACACAATTTTCTAGGGAATAGTTCTGAACGCCTACCCGACCGCGAAATATCCAGGTGGCAACTGATTCATATATCTTAAGCACTCCCTGAACCCTAAGGCCGCAACTTATAGCCCTCCCACCTTTTCATGGACTTCTAGTCTTCTTTGAGCTATTTCCTGATTTCCGTATTGGTCCTCTTGTATCAAAAATAACTGAGTACAGAGGGTGCCTTCGGTAAAACTCAATTACTAAAAAAGGCGAGTTACAGGTTCATCGAAGCAGTGATACAATACACTGGTGCCAGGAAAGTCGACGTCATTGCACATTCCGTTGGTGTTGTTCTGGCCAGGTACATTTGAGTAGACTCTCGCAGAGAATGCAGATGGAAACAGCTCGCAAGAGTCTTCGGCTCATATTGTAACCCATTACTTTACTACGGGAATACTGGTTTCAGAAAAGCTTTGAAAGGAGGATCACTCATTGGAACTGACGGTAACTGCACACTTGGTCCTCCTCTTACATCCAAGATTGACACTTTCGTTGGAATAGCTGGACCAAACTATGGTTAGTTTTGTTCGAGGGCAATTTCCTCCCAATTTGGTGAGCACAAAGCGGAACAGCTAAGCCATTCCGGTTCTTTGATACAAACCACTGTAAACTAAACTATCTTTTGGAAATTCTCCGTCTATCCTGAACAGTCCCGGATCGATATCAGCTCAGGCCCACCAGGCCTCCCATTCTTCCTGGAACGGTAACTTGGGACCCGACTTGTTTGGGAGGATAGAAGTACTGACTTCTTCATCGGCTGGCCACCGCAAGTCGTTATATCGGTTACAGCCGCATTCAATATGTCGCTACGATCCTGAATGAAAGGCAAATGCAGAACGCATCCCTCAGACGGGATTGATTCACGCTCAAAGACTTTACCTTTTCATCCCGTACAATGAGTAGTAATAGGGAATCCTTTAAGGTTTGTGTGTATGCCAACTAGCGCAGACTGTACCTGCTTGGTGTAATGCTCTCGATGGTCTCTACCCAGGATATACATGCCAGGATCAGGTAAGACCCAAACTATCAGGCCTCACAATTTATTTTGAAAGGTTTCAGTTTCGTTCTTTCTCTAAAATCAAGCTTTTCTGGGTTCAATCCGAAACGATCTCCCTTCTCCACGATTCAAAATATTCCCACCAGAAATATCCATATGTTTCAGCTCCTGTGTGGCTACACTTCGGGTAACTGCAAGCAGGAAAACTACTCAGCGCTGTTGGAGAAACTCAACAATGACCCGGTACGAGAAGCTGAACATGTGTATGCAATGTGGAGCGACGGTAAGCCCTCAGGCTTTTACTACTGGGGCCGAATTTTCCTGAATATGACAAAATCCCTCCATTCACACGGATGTGAACGTAGGCTAACTGGTCTTCAGCTGTGTCGGAGCCAGGTTGGATCGTGGGCGTCACCTATCACAAGTTTTTCGTAAGGAACGAGTTCCAATTTTCCCCTTAAAAAGGCTTATGGTAGGTGAGGTGCTGGGCGTAGTCTGTGAGAAGCACTAACACATAGTTTAATTTCCTCCGAAGTGATCGAACTGAAATTCCTTATATTTCTAATAGTCATCGTGAGTACTATGAGGAGAGCTGAAACTGCCGTCTTGCCTAAGAATTTGAAAGGGAGCCTTGGACTGGTGCCTAAGTTCGTTTCCTCTGCCTAGCATAAAGACTCGGCTTGCTTTGGCACATGCCAGCCATTTTTTGCGACGAATTGGAGTCAAAAGAAATCAGTCCTTATAACCGCTATCAAAGCTTGTTAATTTGTATACCTCAAGCGCCATCTCTTCCACACCCTCTATATACCCATTCTTCCTCTCCCATCCTACTATCCTCATTATTCATTTGTTAAGTCCAGTGATTAAATTTTATGGGGAAAGCACCGAGGATTTTTGAGCACTTACTTTCAAAATGTTCTAATGGCTTTTCAATATGATTTATGACACCCCATTTGCATAAGTCCTCGTCCCACCCAAAAAAATCATGCTTTGGTGTGAACGACTACTGTCTACATTCGACCTATTACGAATGATTAGATAACATCCCATACACATCCTTTCAAACACCTCTAATCAACATTTATCACTTTCTATCGTTCGGTATTCTTCTCTGTGGGTCGGGCCCTGTTACATGATAGAAGAAAATCGAACTGAAACCAAGTCACTTTATTTTGATCCTGACGTAGATGCTTGCCTATCCCGTCCACCTTTCCTACTGCGCTACAGTGCTACAGTTAGGAACACTGTTCTGAACCTTACTGCAGATGGAGGGATGAATCTACAAAAGAAACTCTTTCTAGAAGTTTTTGTCATAGAAATGGATTGCAGTGATGTTGCAATTAAGAGCCAGTTATTACATTGCTTTGAACCTTCCGAAATATCTCAGTGTTAGCTCTAACCATGGAAATTTCAGTGGATGAAGTACTTCTATTCCGTGGAATGACATGGGGCAAGCCAACGTCGAGAATACCCGGCATGAATGGACGATGGGTGTCTGATCGAAATGGTCACGTCGCCATGAAAGACCTCACCGAGTTGCGACAGTTTGAAGCCGTTGTACATCATTCCATTTAAACTTCTCACTTAAATATCTCTCAAATCAATCACAGTGATGATCTGCAATTACTCTTATTTACATTTATTTATCCAGATTTCTATTACTATTTGCAATTTAAATACGTGCCCGTCAATTTAAATGCCGGTAATAAAGCATTAACTAAATGGCTTCAATGTACAGCGACTATACTTATAGAAGAGATCTTGAATTACAACTCTGACAGAGGTTGGATTTACCGTAACCAACAAGTAGTTCCCTAACAATAAGACATAAGCGCCTGTTTTACAGTTACTACTATCAATTATAACTGGCATTCTTTGTCGGTGGGTATTACGACACCAGTATCAGTAAATACTTGATGGTTTGTCCACAAAGCTTCAAAAAAGAAATATCGAACCATCACAGTAGGCGGCCAGGAAAAGCTTTAGTATTCCATTGAGAGAAACCGCTTGGATCGTGGCAGGACCACGATTAGTTTCGAGTGATGTAGTCTACCAGAAAGAACCTACCTGTAACGTCCAACATTCGTGGCGTTATGATGAAATGTCAACTGAGAAGCGATAACGTCAGTAGTCAGGGAAGTCCGAATCCATCATTTCGGGTTTCTGACAACGCTGCCACAAATCGTCTCCATCGCTACCTGAGTCGAGGAGATTTTGGAATACGAAACACTTTGCTCAGTTTAATCTACACGCATTACCAATTTCTATATTCGACCTATTACGAATGAATAGATAACGTCCCATACATTTCTTTCCATGCATCTCTTATCAGCTGTTTACGGTAAACTGGAAGACTTACCCTTTTGAGGTTGTGATCGTGACAGAACGGCGATGGAAATTGGATGTCCTCGCTTTCACGGAAAAGAAAACGTCTTCCCAACAATTTCAAGTGCCTGAATGAAATAGTCAACGACAGTCACTACAGTACTCAATTCTCCATTCAGAAGAGCGGCTGTACGATGATTAGAGCTCCCTCTCCAATCACAAAATAGGTCTAATTGGAATCATTAAATTGATCTCGGATCGAACTTCAATGTAAATAAAAAAGCATGACATCAAGCAATTCACTCCATTGGTTCATTCACCCTGAGTATCAGTAAGTATTGGGAATGATTACGGGCAAGACTGTGGGATTAAAACGGTACTGCAGGTATACGGCAAATTTCAATGAAAAAATACGAAAAATAAAAAGGTGAAAATGGAAAAAATAGGGTAAGGAGCTAGTGTATGGGACGGAGACTTGATAGCGAGAGGTGGTCCACTGCCACCTCCCGCTATCACCTATGCTCCGTCGATCAAATGCAGAATCGATACCCGACGAGGTCAACCAAACCTTCTGAAATTCCGAGCCTAACCGGTACTAGTCCTTACTAAGAGAATGAAAGCACTTACCTGTACATCGGCTATTCCCAATCACTTCATATAGTGCATATAGTGAGAAGGCCTGCTTTTGACCTTTTTAAGGAGTGTTTGTCCAGTTCTCCATCGGATCCCATAACCAGTACGAGTGTTTTACCGGTAGTACAGGTAGTTCATGGCCAGCAGTGGTTTGAAAAGGCTTTATTCGTATAGTTTTGCCCAGTTTCTGATGTTAATTCTGGATTCACCTCATTTAAGCTAGATTCAAGCTAGATTATTGCCCATTAGCATTTTCTCGGATTCAAACAACTTTGAAATCTAGAAAGGGTAAAGGATGGATGATACTTGGGACGAAACTCATTCAATTCATTCCGTCTTGCAAAGAAGATGAGTGTAGGTGTAGAAAGGTACGGTAGGCTTAGGCAAACTTCAAAAACAAACAAAAAAATAAAAAAAGAAAACTGGAAAAAAAAAGATAAAAATAAGGCTACAGTAGCTAAAAGTTTTGTGACCAAGGGGATGCAGGTTTGAACTTCTTTCTCTCTCCTTGCTTTTTTGAGAAAGTCAGACCGGATTTTCGAAACATTCAGAGGAACCATTGGACTTCTAAATCGCTTTTAAATTTTCCTTTGAAATAATTCTCAATAATTTTTTAAATAGACTTAAGCATGTACCCCGTAATTTCAACTTTCCTTCCTGAATGCTAACGTTTCGGGGTTTTTATTTGAAGGTGTATCGTGGCACTGGGAGGTGATCAGTGGTGATTCGTGTTAATGAATGCGGCTGTCCATCGGCAACAGCGATTTATGCTTGTCGTCGGCTATCTGCCTACGAATTATTGCTTTATAATGGTAAGCCGTTAAACTGGTACGAGAGTACTTCAGGGTTTTTTTCGAGGTGTTAATGATTCCATTAGGTGGGGAGCGTTTTACGAGTGTCCAGCAGAGTGAGTTCAATTACGAAGTTACCCATAGCCACCACCTGTTGCAGGTGGTACGAAAAAAACTGAGGAAGCCAGTGTTCGGAGTCATAAAGGAGCACTGAGGTCTCTTGAGATTTTTTTAGCTCAAATAACCTATCACTTCATGACAGCGAGTACGGATGGGTTTTTTTAAGGAATATCATAATACCATATTTCAGGAATATCATATTATCACTTAAATATATCACTATCAATACCAGGAATATTTTTCAAGAATAAAGAAAGTACGAAAGAAAAAATCAGTCATAAGACGCGGATAAAAAGAATATGGATAAGGCATCAAACTCTGATCACTGTCCTTCGATGGTAAGTTCATTTCGAGTGGAACAATGGGAAATGTTTCGGTTTTAAATGGTTCCGCTGTTAGTTGCGCCGTTCACTCGACTTCCATTCAATATCCCAGAGGGGACTGGAGTTCTGGCCAAATCAGTGACTACCGGGACCAGTCGATGAACAGGCCGCTGTTTTTTCCCTGCTAAGCAATAATGGTACCAGTCTCACAAGGTTATGGACAAAACTTCAGTCTTGAACGGGTCTCGAAACCATACTTGTGCTCTCCGGGGACTGCTCAGCTGGAAGCGATACCACTTGGCCCTCAGTCACATCCATGTGCCCTCTAGAGACTCAGAACAGTCAGTCTCAGGCGTTTTTGCTTGTTTCTGATTTTCTGTCCCAGCTGTTCATGAACATGCCTCGACGCTGGAACATCGATCTTCATTAGGCAGAAGCGTACGTTTCCAAATCCCTCCACAACCCCGAAAAAAGTCAAATGTGTGCGCATATAAGGTCGCCAGAGTAAGTGATATTTTGTTCTTTGTTGTTTTCAGAAAACCAACGCAACCAAGAAAATAGAGGGAAGGCAAAATGCATGGCAAGGTCGGGATGCATTTTACAGTGGGGCGAGTTTTTCCCAGAAGGCTGTCATATAGTCTACATTCGTCACGATGAAACATTTCTTGACTGTTGCTGTCATGAAATGAGCGACTACACGATGTTGCTTGACGATTTTTTCATTGGACGCTGTTCCTTCCGAGAATCGAAAAAGCTTCCAGCTTCCCTCTTGTTGTAACGTCGGCATGTCAGCTTATTTTGCCCCGGTACTGCGGTGTTTCCGGAGATTTTCTGGTGAAACAATCTGTTCAACGAACTAATAAGCAACAATTAAAATTGAGAAGTTTTTGTTCGGACAGAAATTACATAAGGGGGAATATTCAGCCGAATACTCACTACAGCTCTTAGGACGAGATCAACTCAGAGTGGTTTTGCAAATGGAGTAGGGAGGTGTGGCGGTATAGGAAAATGAAACCGGAAGGGAACTGAGTTTTTAAAGGACAATCAAGACTAACTCATGTACTGCACAATAGCCATAAGTGTGAATCAGCTGACTGCATTTGCAGCAAACGCGCTCCATTTCAAATGACGTAGACCTTTTTAAGGCCGCTAAACACGTCCCATTTTAGAGTGCTGAGCGGCAGAGGGCACTGGAGCCAATTTTCGAGCCTTACTGTGCCCGATGTAGACCACTTTTCGACTAGTCCATACTGACATGTGGTCTTCTCAGTGTCTACGAACGAGCGATTTCAGGAACGACCGTGTTTGCCCAGAAAACTCATTTGCAGGTTCAGGTTCCATCGCGACCCTTTCCGGAAACAAGCCAAAAACGCGATAATATTTATGACGAAACAGTACATACACAAAATTCATTTGGAACAAAAAAACATAAAAAATGATCGAAAAAACGGTTGATCCTTCAGCGGTAACAATAAAATACACATCTTAAACATTTGTCACAACCCATACAAATATAAATGAAAGTGGGTGGTTAACATTATTAAGATATGCGAAATTTTCGGGAAATGTCTCAAATGGCATTTTCAAAGATAATAGGCGAATATTCAGGAATACAGGATAAAGACTAGTTGATCAGATTGAAAATGTATTCGAATTTCATAATCTAAAATCTGAAAGATGAAATCATTCTGGAGAACGAGTTTTCTGGAAGATTCCAGAGATCAAAGGAAACAATATTGTGAAAAAACTTGGTCAGCTTTTATAATTAGTTTTCAGGGGTTCATCAATTTTGAACAAAATTATTCAAAGAAGATAACACCTAGTATTGAACTAAGAAGAAAAGCTACAATTTGGTCTTGTTAGAGAAAGAGGATTTCCTGGGATCACCACTTCCAAACCCCTGAAAATTTTGGCCCATGTTGCATGATTTTGGGCCGTACCATCCACTCCGCATCGTGCATGCGCACACTAGGGTCCGGCTAACTGGGAGAGGGATGTCAGTGATGCAAAGGTCGCAGAAGTCGTCTATTCCGCCCCTCCACTGGCCGCTCTTTTGACTTGAGAAATTTTTCGAGGAATCCAAACCACTACTTCAATCCGAAACAGGAGTTCAAAAAGGGCCCAGCACTCTAGGTGGTCTGAAGAATTCACCGAAAGTTCCTTGCACCAATGGTCCCGGGGTTCATCCTATTCGAACCGAATCGCCCTCGTGATGACTGAACATCTCCAGCTTCTACACTCACGAAGGGCAACGCGACGAAGAGAACCGAAGCAGTTTCTTCAAGGGGTCGCTGTCATCGTCATCATCTTCGTCCTGGTCACTATTTCCCTCGGCTTTTTCCACCCCCTACCCCCACTTCTACTCTCCTTCACCGGTGGTTCGTCAGGAATGTGTTGCTGAAGAGTGAGACTGATGCATGAGATAAATGCCTTTCACATAGACTTCTGACCCGCACGCTTCTCTTCCTACATTTCCTACCAGTCGCCATGAGTTAGTAGAAAGAGGGAAGTCCCGTGGAAACAGAATTGGACTGAAGAGCCAGTTCGCTCGTCCTCTCCCTTATCTAATCAATAACGCAAAAGGTTGAATGTGGTTGTCTTGTTGTTTCATATTGATGGATTGACTCACACTATGGATATGACAGACGTAGCTGGTCTTGGCAACCTGCCAAGGGGTTCGTCAGCGCTGGTGTGCAAGAGCCCTGTGTTGCTGGAGTTGCTGTGGCAACTCTTGTGTTTTGGAAGCAACCGGAGCAACAGAGATCGAGACTTCCAGTCAAGAACGAGGAGGTGGGAGAAGGTCCGATTGAAGGGTTTGGAAGTGGCTTGTTTTCCTCCTCTTCTTAAGGCACATGTCGATATTCTATTGAGATCATGGTTTTTAGACAATTTGTAAGGACTTCCCCACGGAATAATTTCGAGTGAGAAAAACTCTCTATTCTTTAAACAGCGGAGGAATGCTTAGAAGACGACAATGCTGTCGAGGGCTTGGAACCTACCAAATGTGCACGTCAAGGGAATCGGGTAAAAATTGACCATCATTTGCATCTGATTTCGACTTTAACTCGCTACCGTAGAACGAGATAAGTAATGAGTAGCGAAAACATGGGTAACAGCCCTGCATCAGCAGATCCAGCTCTGATTCGAAGTCGTAGAGATCGTGCTTTTTTCGGTGTTATTGATCGACAACAGAAGCGGCTGTTACCGTTCATAAGCTGCTGATGTCTGAAAGGATTTTCTTGTCTTGGACACTGGAAATGAACAAGGGTCCAGCTTCATAACTTACCTTTGCTTATCAGAAAAGCGCTTTCCGACTTCGTTGGTGAACCGATAACGGCGATCCTTGGAATCGATGCTCCATAAACGGATCAGCCTCTGTCCTGCTACAGATAGTGTCGAATACGAACGACAGCCGGCATAATGGTGCATCCCGATGATCGAACAGATTTTTTCCTAAAAAATTCCTACAGCAATATGAAAAGAGGTAGTCCCAATTCTCAGCATAATGCGAGTTTCAGTTGACAGTAGTCCAGAAAGTCCGTCTTTGTGAAAGGTAACGAACCTGTACGCATTGGCAGCTCTTCGCTGTTCGATCCACATTTGAGAACCGATCGAGAAATCTGGAAATAGTATTTACCATATTTTATGTTTATATATTTCTTGTTTTTTTATTTTTTCATTTTTATTCTCATTACATTTATATTTTATATTATATTCCATTGTATACGTTTCAGAGGCTGAATCGCGCTTTTGATACGGATAACGGGCAGATGAGGAAGAAGATGGTGTAGTGGCAAGTGGCGCACTATATCACACGCACGGTCAGGGGTTCGAATCCCGGATCGATATCTGCCTAGACCAGCCAAGCGTTCCGTCAATCGGATAAGTGGTACCAGGCTCGTCTGGGAGGATAAAAGCACTGACTTGTACATTGGGTGGCCAGCGCAAGTCATTGTATAGGCCACATAAGCACTCATTACACCACCACGATTTTGAATGGAAGCCGAGTGCGGGGTGCATCCCTCAGTCGGGATTGATTAATGCCAACAAAATTACCCTTTATCTTTTCATTTATTTTATATTATATTTTATTATCTAAGTTTTAGAGGCTAAATCGCGCTTTTGGTATGGATGATGGGCAGATGTGACATCGTCAGACGGCGACTAGGTAAATGTTGTGACATTCCGCTATCACACATCTCCAGTAAACGGAGAAAAAGGGTCCAATAAAGGGTTCACCCATAGTGGAAGTTTCCTGAAGGCTAAAAGCTTCCGAAAAGGATTCAATTTGATACAGCATTTGTTCGGTTTCAGAAATACACACTATTTGGGTCCATCCAAGTTTTCCCAGCTCACAGTGATCCTTTTATTTCCGTCTCATTCACTTTGCCCCCCAGTATTGACTCTACTTTCTCAGCTGCTGAACACGAATATCGCTCAACCAACACCAGCTGTGACTTTTTCGGTGGATCCACTGATCCCAATCTCCGTTGCACCACCCACATCTCACCTTGTATCACACTTGTTGATTAATTGATTGCATTTTGAAGAAATGACAAGTGATCGTTCCTCCGAAATCACCGTCACTGGATCTGGAATTTCACCAAGGTTCATGTGTGGGGGAGGGGGGGGGGGGGGACGTTGAGTCCATGGGATAGAAACACCATGTTCATACAAGTGATCAGTGGAAACTAATCACCAAAATTCTACACATCTATTACAGATTATAAAAGATTTGGGAAAGTCCCATTGGACAACTCCCACACCTGGACCGTGGTCATTATCTCGCCCTATCACAACATACCCCGAGTGCCTACAATGTAGTCATGAAAGTGGGCGTGGAGTAAAGTGTGGGCGTCCAATAAGCACGGAACCGCGTTCCCAGAGCTCTTTCCACCCAACGTGTGGTCGTCAGTTGAGCATGACTAGTGTGGTCGTACCCCGAATTACATCACCCAAATAGAAAATCCCCTAGAACCCTCAAATGGCACCTTGCACGGTAACAACCCTGCCTTACCTGCACAACGCCCAGGCATGCGATGAATGTTCTCTCTAGAGGGGCGCAACACATTTGTCTTTTTCTCCCTTCGTTCTTTTTTCAACTTTTTTTTTCTAAGCCTTCGGCAACGATCGATCTGAAGCCGAGGGGTCGGTCGGCTAACATATGCCGCTTTTTTGTGATCGGGCTCTACTAGCAAGTTCATGCTTCCTTGCTCAACCAGAGAAAGAGGGAGGGAAGAGAGCGAACTCCTCAGGAAAACCTTAGAAACATATCCAGTAGGTTGCAGTGCTGTAGTGAGGTTTTCCGTGAACTGTACTAATGATTTATGATCCTTCCTTGATACTTTTGTGATGACGGATCTAGTTTTTTGGTGCTGATCTATTCCATGTAGTGGCCAATAGATTCACAAATCAGTGTTTTTATCCTCTCAGACTAATTTGATACCAATTGAGCGACCTGGAGGGATGGAAGACTTTGTCAGTCTGACCGAATATCGAACTGGGAGTCGAACCCGTGATTATGCGTGTGTGATAGTTCGCTACTCGCCACTACATCACCTCCGCCTTTGGACTGTAGTGAACCTGTTTACTTATATTTTTCGATTAACTTAAGGGAAGTTTCTACTCTCACCGATTACATTGAGCAAAATTATAAATAAATCCATGAGTAAGTAAATAAGGATTACGAAGGTAACCTTATATATCGTGCTTCACAAGTTCCTCCACATGCGACTGGGTCGCAATCGCCAGGACGTCTCCCCTGACACAGTGGTTCCAGGAGCATAGCACTGCAACTGCTTTTTATTAGTTCAAGAACTATACTTACACCACAATCCTAACTAAATTTACAATACGCAAACTTGCTGATTTTTTCATTTTCAAAAAATTTAAAATTCATTTTTCCATTACTGGCACCGGTTGCGGCACCCATTCTGCTTTGAGGCGATGGAAAAAATCAAAAAATTTTCTTCAATCGATGAAGTGTATTCGCAGAAAAATCATAAAAATTCAATAAAAATCTGCCAATAAAAAAGAAAATTGTGGTAAT